ACTCGCTGGATGACGTGCACCACTACCAGCTCATGGTCGACTCCATCGACGCCGCGCGCAAGGACGGCATCTTTGGCGGAGACGTCAACAACATCCCCTCGGGCCAAGCGCAATGCGCCAACATACTGTTTCAAGTATACGGTGAGCCTCCGGCCGGTCTCCTCGCTTGTAAAAGATTTGGGCAACAGAAGATTAGGTTTGAAGGGATTCTTTTTGCGTCTTCTGTTGCCGGTTCGGCCAAATCGCCCAACACAGCCTGGACTGGTTCGGGAACGTATCTAGCCACGAGTCCCTTGACGTCACTGATTTCTCTCTCCGCGGTTCTCCGCCCTCCCGCCGCCCCTTCCCCACCCACCGCAACGAGCAGAGCTGCTGCGGCAGCTGCTGGCGTCGGCGCCGGAGATGAACCCGCAGATGCGCGGCATCTACTCGCACCTGGCGGGCATTCGGCGCAAGCTGGCGGACATGCGGCAGCACAACGTGACGCACACGTGCGACGACCTGCAGATGTACCAGGTGCAGCTGGACGCCATCGACAAGGACCGCGAGGACGGCATCTTCGGCGGGTCCCTCTCCACCAAGGTGCCCGCGGGGCAGGCGCTCTGCTCCACGCTGCTCGCGCAGTGCTACAAGCTGGTCGGCGAGCTGCAGGAGACCGCCACGGATGCTTAGAGGGGTTGTATCATGGGCGTGCAGGCGCCGTGGCCGTGGGGGCTGATTAGAGGCGCCGAATTTAGGGGAGGAATATAGGTTGGATTGGGATGGTGGGCCAGAGCGGGAGTGTGGGGAGTGCGTTGGGGAGAGTTTGCTTTTCATGTAGGTGGGGCAATTGGGGAGGAGGCATCAGGCACGTGGGAGGGCTATGTGGGTGCATCGTTAGAGGATTCTGACTCACAAATACGTACATTCGGAGCAGGGAGGAAGGATACGTGTATTAGAAGCTGGGCTGCTGGTTGTTGGATGTTTTATGATTGGTCAAATGAAGAGTAATTTCCTCCCCAAAACCTCCATGAAATGCTGACCATGTCTTCCACTCGTTATACCTATGACGATGATTTCTCTGGCGAGTCTTTTCTAGTTGCATCTATCTGGAAGTCGGACATACTCATCATGCGAAATGTTCAAGATATGTGAATTATCAATAATTAAAGCCCGCGCGCTTCAAGTCCTCGTCGTCCGGGTCACTGGGTTGGGATGTCCCTGCGACAAACAATTCGACGTGAACCAAAATAAGAGAAGATCGAAGGTGAGCGAGCCTCGTTTGGCAACATTCGTATCCACCGCCTACCAAACACATGTCAGCAAATTTTGAAAAAACGTGGGCAAATTGGGACTTCTGCACACGCATGAACTCCCTCAGCCCCTGGAAGAGTAACATGCTCGTCAGTTGGCAAGCTACTACACAAGAGCAGCCAACCAGGCAGGGACACGTAGGATCGCAGCTCCTTACGGTTTACCGTGCATGGTTCCGAAAGATGACGATGTAATTATAGGCTGTAGCAAGCGGTGTCTATACTTCCCACATAGGCGGCTTGGTATAGGTATATGGCAAGAAGACGGAGATCGCAACGTTTGGCTTGCGCGCCGACTCAGACTCTGAAAAATGCCGATCTGGTTCACGGGTTACTCGGAAAAGGGGGGATTAGGCCCATATGGCGCTCCATTTACGGGGCACATAGGAAACCGCCGATTTCACCTAGTTACTCCCGCAGAATTTCCCAAAAATTGCCGGAAAAGTTCCCGACATTTTCCTGATGGACGAAACATTCAGTCGTCTGGTTGCAGCGATAGTAGAACGTTCATTGGCGATTAGATTAGATCCGACTCGAATCGTTGAATAACCGGCGCCGATCGAGTCATGACGCTCGTGTTACCGACGCGACCACATATAGTCCAGGGAAGCACCCATGGCCACGTGTCCTTTCCGCTGCGAAGGCATTTCCTGGATAGACTTCACCCCACGTGTGCTGGCGTCTCGGTTCGACCAATCAGACGCAGCCTGTCTCGCCGTGACACCTGCAGCAGCAGTCTAGATAAACAGGGCAGCGGCCCTGTCGGCAAGTACAGCAGACCGAGCAGCCTCCGCTTCCGCCCCCTTCCGCCAGTCGGCGCACACCGTCATGCGCCAGCGCGGGGGGAGGCGCCGCATGTCAGCTGCAGCGGCGCAGGCTACTCCTCCTCGCTCTGTCTACGATTACGCCATCCCTCGCGATGACACGTCAGCAGCAAAGAGGCTTCGCTGCCGACTTCGCTGGCGGTGCTGGCATCTCTTGACGTCACGCTGTCAGGGGCCCTCGCTGAGAAGGCATCCGATGTGGGACCGACCCGGATGTCAGAGCGAAACCGCAGCTCGATCCGCAAGTCCTCCGCGTTCCCGGACAGCCCACAGCCGTTCACAAGAATCGCGCTGCTGTGGCTGGGAAAGCCCGCTCGTCGCAAGGGGTCGTCTAAAACGAATCAGGCCATCAAGGTAGTATCCCTCCCGTTCGGCAAGGCAGAGGCGGCGAGGGGAAGGAGATTAAAGCTGGGAGCGTTGTTCAGGGCATAGTCACGAGCGCCATAGTAGGCAGCTTCGAGGATGTGCGGTTCAAGCAGAGGAGAAGGAGAGGGCGAAAGGGGGGAGGGGTGTGAAGGAGTTGCAAGTGGTTTAGGCTCGGTGACGCGGATTCACTTCGGAGGGACGGGTTCGAGGCGGAGAGACTGTTTGCCGAAATCATCCGTTCCAAGCAACTGGTCAACGCTCCACCCAATGTGGTCAGGGCAGTATTTTCTTGCTGACGTGGCGGAGAATTTGAGTGGCGCCCACGCGGGCGCCCTGGTCGCGCGCATCTAGGAAAAGGACGAACGTGCTGTGCCGGCCAGGGCATGAGTTCGCACCTGGCGGTCGGTGGCAGAGGCATCCGCGGCAGACAATCCGGCCAAGTTCATCCACGTCTCCTACACTCCGCCTGCTGCTGGAAATGCTCGTGCTGGGGAAGGGAAGGGGTGGAGGGAGGAGAAACCGCTGAGGAAGCTGGCTCTGATTGGCAAGGGGCTCACTTCACCTTCGACAGGTATGCATGGGTGTCCATCTGCCTTGTCATGGCTCCTCGTGGCGGCTCATTCCCCCTCACCCCTCACTCCAGTCCCTTCCTTCTTCCCTGCCCTTCCCCCATTCCCTTCCTGTCACCTTCCATCGCACCGATCAGTAGCTACTACAACCTCCCTCCATTCACCCATTTCCCCTCTATTCACCCATCCCCCTTCCACCTATCCATTCATCCACTCACCTTTTTTAGTAGTACCCCTCTATTATTCACCCTTACTCACCCCTCGCGCGAGCCACTGGCGGCTACACCCTCAAGGCAGGCCCGGGCTCAATGATCCACCCCGTGAAGTTTGACATGGGCGGTGCTGCTGCAGTGCTGGGCGCTGCCAACTAAGGCCATCACAGCCATCCAGCCGCTCGAGGTGGAGGTAAGAGCTTGCCCACCGCCGCCCAGGTGAGCGCCCCCACGCCTGCTCTTTGCCTGCCTGCCCTCCACCCACATACTCTTCTAGCACTTGATATGCACTTGTGCTGTTGCTAGGGCAGTTAGGGCTTGAGGTACAAGGCGTGGAAATGTCAAAGGTGAGTGTGAGGGCAGGAGCATGCGTGATGCTCATTGTAGCAGCATGTGAGAACGTGGTCAGTGCGGCTAACACAGAGGCTTCATGCTATTGATGCTACCTTTCCTCGTGTGCGAGGTTGACCGGCATGTGCCCTGCATGTAGTCATGCCCACCACCGCCAGGTGCGCTGCATCGTGGCAGCGTGTGATAACATGTTCATTGTTCAGTGAGGCCTATTTCAATCAAGGACTGTGAGGTGCGGGGCGGGGAGAGCAGGGAGCACTCATCGTGTGGTGTGGCCCGTGAAGGCCAACAAATCCATATCATTGACAGTTCTCACTGTGACTCCATTATGGCTCATGAAGGCCAGCATTCCTTCCCAAAGCCACCAAACCATCCATGATGTGAGCACACCCACCCACCGCACCACACTACACTACTCCCTGTACCCACAGCCTTCGTCGTGTGCAAGGTTCAAAAATACGACCGAAATTTTGAAATTATACCGTAATTTACAGAATCGTAATTTACGGTCGTAATTTACGGTAAAAAACGGTTACAAGTTGTAAAAACATGTTGGTTTAAAAATACGGTCGTAAATTACGACCGAAATATTGATACCGAGTTTGCACATAGCGAATTTCAACATTTCACAACCAAAAACGGTCTGACCATGGTGTCAGGGTTGCCAAATGCACACGTGTGCTATTTTTCCCCGAGTCGCGAATGTCAGCAATTTCTCGAGGCGCGAAATTGTGTATATTGGCGAGCGTTTTGCAGGCTTGTTGCCCGTTCGAAATGTCGTTGAGGTATTTCGTCGAATCGCAAATGTACAGATTTGCGCGACGCGGTTAATTGTACATTTGGCGAACGGATATCAAATGTGTATCCGTTTCGCGAGGTCGGTGGTTCGATTCGCGCCCCTTTCGTAATTTTCGCCCGCATGCGCGCCACAATTCAATTTCGCGCTGCGAAACCTCTCCAACCAATGGCGATTGTACAATCTCCATCCCGTCCATCCCATCCCTTACGCATGTTCCCCTTCGCCAAACTTACACATCCAAGTACAAATTGCTGCTCCAGAAACTCACTCGACAGGGCATTTGCTCTTTTCATAGTCTTAGTCTTTCTTCCCCACTCGACATCATGGTTAGACCGTTTTCGGAGGTGTGGCAGCATGTGTCGAAGGTTACTTGGCCAGACGGCACAGTCACTGTAACATGCAGCTACTGCCCTGCTACCGTGACCCCAAATGCGACCCGTATTAGAGAACACATCTACGGGACTCCTCGTTTACGAGAGAAGAATGTGACTCCGTGCCCGTCCGAGTTTGCAAAGCAGCTTCGTGAAGCCGCCGAGAGGGAACGGTCTTCCAGTTCCAACCGTGCTTCTACCTCCACTTCGGTCGAGATGCAGCCCGCAAGGCGTTTTAGGCAGCGCGACATTCGAGATATGGCGGATACCGTGGCGTGCTCGCGGCTAGATTACCTGTGGGCGGCAGTTGTGGCGGAGAATGACCTCGCCTTCAATGTATCCAAGTCGAAGGCGCTGCAAGCCTTCGTTGACGCGGCCGTCGCCTTCGCGAAGCCGTACACACTCCCCACCCCTTACAAGGTGTCCGGCCCGCTCCTCGAAAGGCTACGGGCCGACTCCGAGGACCTTGTGCGGCCGATTAAGGAGTCATGGAAGACGTCCGGGTGCAGTCTCTCGGTGGACGGGTGGACGTGCCTCAAGTCCCGCGGGATGGTGTGCGTCATCGCCCACAACGACACCGCGCCCGTGATTGTCGACATCGTGGACTCAAAAACCGCCAAGAAAACAGGGGACTACCTCGCTGGTCTCATCGAATCCGCGATCCTCAGTGTGGGGAAGAACCTCGTGGTCCAGGTCGTAATGGACAACGCCTCGAACAACCGAGCCGCGGCTAAGAAGCTTGAGGTCGACTTTCCCCAGGTTTTTTTCACCAACTGCGCGGCCCACTGCTTGGACCTCATGCTTCACGACCTAGGCAACATTACGGCCGTCAAGCGCGTTTTGGAGCAAGTTCACCGGGTCGTCATGATGATCAAGGGGAGCGCCTCCGCCGTCGTGCTTTTCCGCGAACTTTTCACCAAGCTTGCCTTGGTGCGGCCGGGTGCGACGCGTTTCGGAACCCAAGTCATCATGCTGCGCCGATTCCTGGAGGTGAAGAAAGCTCTCCGTGCCATGGTCATCAGCGAGGAATGGGAAGTGGTGCCGGTGGCGCGACAGCCTGAGGGGCAGGAGGTGCGGAGGCTTCTACTGGATGACGTGTTTTGGGAGTGTGCTATGGCGGTTCTCAACCTCCTCACGCCGGTTTATGAAGTGCTGCGGGTTGTCGACACGCGGGCACAAATCATGGGCCAGGTCTATGGCCTCATGATTAATGTCACAATCAAAACGAGGGTAGCTGCCGAGGCTGCTGGTAAGTGCCATAACCAATTCTGTTTTTTTTTTCATCACCTCGTACCGCACCGAATCTGTGATCCATGTTCCATCATACACACGCTTGCCACTCTTTGGACTAACCCCAATTTTACTCCCTCTTCACCGTGAGCAGCCTCTGTCTTCGTCAAGAAGACGGGCCTGCTGCCGGCTAAGGACAAGAACACATTCCTAGCTGCCATCAAGACCGTCCTTGCGAAGAGATGGGATGGCCAGCTCCATAACGCCCTGCATGCCATTGGATGGCTCCTCAATCCCCGCAACCAATACGCGGGGGAGGTGAGAAACGATCCAGAGATAAGGAAAGGGACCGAAGAAGTGATTCAGGCCCGTGGGGGGGATGTGGCTGAGCGCATCAAGCTGTTTGCACAGCTCGCGCAGTATCACAAGGGTGAGGGCCGCCTTGGATCGGACGACGCTCGATGGGCAGCCAGGAACCTGGTGGAGGGGGGGCGCATGACGGATGCGGAGTGGTGGGGGATTTTCGGTGGGGAAGTACAATCGCTTCAGGAGCTGGCTGTGTTTACCCTATCACAGCCGGTCACCTCATCCGAGGTGGAGCGGTTCTGGTCCAACCTTGCACGTGTGCAGAGACGGGACCGCAACCGCATCTCCGTGAAGAAGATGACGGATGTCACCTTCGTGGCCTTCACCAGGAGGGCCCGCGATGCATTCGATCGCAAATCTGAGGCCCGTGCTAAGTTGTATGCCGACCTTACCAACGGAACCCTCAAGGAGGGCAGTGCCGTCCCCCCGGCAGCAGTGGAAGAAGAGGGAGGGGTGGCTGAAGAGGAGGGAGCCGAGGTGGAGTGCACCATCGACTGGAACGAATTTGGGAGCACCGGTAAGAAGAAGAAGAAGAAGAAGAAGCGGGCGGGTGAGTGCTCCAAGAGGAAGAGGAAGGAGAAGGGGAAAAGTGCATGCATGCGGAAGGCGAAAGGAAAGCGTGCAGAGGAGGAGGAGGAGGAGGATGAGGAGGCAGAAAGCAGTGGGCAGGAGGAAGCACCCTCCAAGCATGCTAAGGGTGTCCAGCCCTGGGACCGCAGTGATGGTGAGAGTGGGGAGGAGGAGGAGGAGGAGGAGGAGGAGGAGGAGGAGGAGGAGGAGGAGGAGGAGGAGGAGGAGGAGGAGGAGGAGGAGGAGGAGGGGTAGGTAGAGAGAGGAGGAGGGGGAGGGATTTGGTGTAGTTCTAGCTACAAAGGCTTAGCAATGCATGATAGTGTAGTGGTCCATTGTTTGTAGGCTTGTTTCTCTGTCGTGTAGTTTCTTGTAGCCTTCCTGGTCATCAATGTAAGCTGCCTAGAAGTTTCTGGAAAAAAAAAATTGCAACAAAAACTCCAACAAAATTACGGCCGTTTTTTTGCAAAAAGCACCGTAATTTACAACCGTAAATTACGGACCGTAAATTACGATCACCGTATTTTTCAACCTTGGTCGTGTGGATGATGAAAGCCACGCCCTCAGCTCTCAGGCAGGTGGGGTGCAGAGTGTCGTCAGGTGGTCTTCTGGTGGTGCGTGGGGGATGGTGGGCGGTGCGTGGAGAAGGCGGGTCTGGGACCAAAGAGAGGCTTGGTACGAAGCTGTGGGTGAGGTGGTGAGTGTTTTCGCATGAGGGGAGGAAGGTGATGAGGGCGTTGCATGCCATTGTGTGGTCCATCCTGTGGGAATTCTGGGGAAGCAGGGAAGGGCAGAGAGCATGGTAGGTGGCGCTGCCATTGTATTCTGTTTCTTGTCGCTGCTGGCAGGGCAGGCAGGGTGGCAGAGGCGGACGGGGGTGAGGCGTGGGAGGAATAGTGGGAGGGGAAGGAGGGCATCATCGTGGAGATCATCATTGAGGGCAGCAGAGAGTGGTGGGTGGGTGGCAGATGCGAGAGAGGCAGGAAGATGCGAGAGAGGCAGGAAGATGCGAGAGAGGCAGGAAGATGCGAGAGAGGCAGGAAGATGCGAGAGAGGCAGGAAGATGCGAGAGAGGCAGGAAGATGCGAGAGAGGCAGGAAGATGCGAGAGAGGCAGGAAGATGCGAGAGAGGCAGGAAGATGCCTCTCTTCCTTCACGTCCTGCCAACACACTCTGCCTTCACACCCATCTCCCCTCCTCCCCAACCCCAACCTCCCCCCTCTCCCCCCGTCTCAAGCGGTCCGTGTATTAGATCCAAGCAAGTACAGACATGCACAGGATAGAGAAAGCACAGACAGTTCAGCCTCTAACCCACATGTCCTACTCCCCCCCCCCCCCCCCTGCTCCGTCTAAGGGAGCTCCAGCACCGGCTCCAGGATGGCAAGGCAGTCCCCAAGGGACATGCCTTCGCCTGGCATCTCCACAGGTGGGTTCTCCACCTGTGCCGCGAAGTTGCACTTCTCCATGAAGCTCACTGACTGGGCCCGCTGCAGTGCCACGGACCACCTCTGGCGGAACTGGTGCAGCAGCTTTGTGGCCCGGTAGGATGAGGGGGCCGCATTGAAGAACCTGTGAGCGGCGGTGTCGGCTAGCAGCTTGAGGAACTGGGGGACCTCTGCGCATGGGCAGCCGTAAGTGTCGACGGCGAGAGGGAAGAATCCGACCCACAAGGGAGATCTTCTTCTCTGCTGCTTCACGGGCTGCCCACCCCCTGCCCTTGACTGCGTTGGGATCGCGGGTGCTAATGGGATGGATCCGTGATGGTCACGTCCCCAATCCAGACCGCCCCCGAGGATTTATCCCTGATTGCTATGTCTGCCTTCTTCCTGGTGACGGGGCAGAATGCGGTTGTCTCTCCGTGAGTCATGAAATCCGCATCGTTGGCCATCTGCAAGCACTCGTCCCGCAACTCATTGTGAGTGTTGGTCCTCCCCTTCCCTGTGTCACAGCGCAGAAGGTGGTTGGGCAGCCGTCGGTCTGTGATTGCCTTGTTGTTGCGGCAGTCGCAAGCCCCGGGTGCAGAGGAGGGAAGCCCCATTGGGAACTGCAGTGCATGGGCAAAGTGGTCTGGGGCAAGGCGCAGCGACTTGTTAAAGGGGACTGCGTTGAGCCAATCCCCTGCCCCGTACCCCGAGAGGGAGAGCATGCGCCGTGTGTAGGTATGATCAAATGACCCGACCCGACCCGACCCGACCCGACCCGACTTTGGCGGGCCAGCCGGGTTCCGGGTCGGGTCGGGTCGGGTCGGGTCGGAACTTTTGAGATCTCTGGCCCGACCCGGGTATCGGGTGCCGGGTCAGGCTTGACCCGCCCCCGGGTCGGGCCGACTCCCATAGGCAGGGTTAGAGGTTCTCCTTAATAATGTGTAGGGGCGCGGGTCTAGCGACCTGCGCCTGCACGGCGCGCCGAGATGCCCTAAAACGCGGGCCTGCAATGCGCGCGCCTAGGGTGGGAGCGCGACCTGTAAATTTCGGATTTAAAAGAAACCCTAGGATGGATGGCGCGAAGTGCGAAGTGCGATTGGCTGAGTACTAACTAAACATTATCGTGGGTTCTAGGGTAGATTAGTACGCCAATGTTGCTTGGTGGGTGGCTGCTGGCGTCACTAGCTAGTTAACCTAACTTAATCCAGATCGAAATGCTAGTTGCTGGGAAAACAAGCAAGCGCGATTGCGATCTGGATAACATTGTCGAGAGGAAACCCTCGGGTCGGGCCAGATACCCAACCCGAGATAGGGCGCGGTACCCGAAACCGGATCGAGTCCATAATCGGGTCAAAACCCGACCCGACCCGACCCGACCCGGAATCGGGTCACGGGTCGACCCGACCCGGCTGGGTATACCCGACCCGACCCGGCCGGGTCAGTGGTTCAGAACTCCTGACCCGACCCGGGTCAAAACCCTCTGACTTTGGGGAGGCGTTAAACCGCCGCTTTGCCGCTAGCTCTGCGCAGCTGCGAAGGAAATCGAGGACTCCAGGTGAGGGGTAGCCGTAAGTCTCCACGGCCATGGCGTAGAAGCCCACCCACGGGCTCTGCCCGGCATATTTGTCTCCTTGTCCGCCTGCATCCTAGCCGCCCACCCGGGCGCCTTACGAGCGTACTTGTCCTGGTGGGAGACGGGGTCTGTGACTGTGATGTCACAAATCCACACTGCACCGGTGTCGGGATGGCGGATAGAGATATCCGCTTTGAGGTTTTCGACCGGTGAGTATGCCGTTGTCTCCTTGTGCACCGTGAAGCCCGCTTCAGCCGCTATCTTCGCGCACTCATCTCGCAAGGCATTGTGAGTGCCGATTCTCCCCCCCCCTTTCTCGCACCGCATCAGGTGGTTCGGCAGGCGGTCGTCCGGGAAGGTGGTGCGGTATCTGCAGTTGCAGCGTCTCGGAACAGGTAGGGGCAGTCCCAGGCGGAAGGATGCCGCAGTGGAGAACTGAGAAGGTCCGAGGCGGAGGGAAGAGATCAGGGGTATGGCAAGCAGCCAGTCCCCCGCCCCCGGGCCTAAGAGGGACTGTAACACTGCGTATGGCCGGACTGTAACCTCTCTCTCTCTCTCTCTCTCTCTCTCTCTCTCTCTCTCTCTCTCTCTCTCTCTCTCTCTCTCTCTCTCTCTCTCTCAAGCGGTCCGTGTATTAGATCCGAGCAAGGTACAGACATGCACAAGGATATAAGAAGCAATGCATCTCAGCTTCTAAAACCCCCACATCCTACCTACCCTCCTTCACCCTCTAAGGCAGCTCCAATGCCGGCTCCAGGATGGCAAGGCAGTCCCCGAGGGACATTCCTTCGCCCGGCAGCGCCACAGGTGGGTTCTCCACCTGAGCCGCGTAGTTGCACTTCGTCATGAAGCTCACTGACTGCGCCCGCTGCAGCGCCACGGACCACCGCTGGCGGAACTGGTGCAGCAGCTTTGTTGCCTGGTAAGATGAGGGGGCCGCGTTGAAGAGCCGGCGCGCGCCGGTGTCGGCCAGAAGTTTGAGGAATTGAGGGACCTCCGCGCAAGGACAGCCATAGGTATCAACGGCAAGGGGGAAGAACCCGACCCACGAGGCCGTTGAGCCCTCGTAGTCGGAGATCTTCTTCTCCGCCGCCTCCCTGGCCGCCCATCCCCTGCCCTTGACCGCGTTGGGATCCCGTGTGCTGATGGGGTCCGTGATGGTCACGTCCCCTATCCACACCGCTCCTGAGGACTTGTCCCGGATCGCAATGTCGGCTTTCTTCAGAGTGACGGGGCAGAACGTAGTCGTTTCGCTGTGAGTCATGAAGTCAGCGTCGGCGGCCATGTGTACACACGCATCGCGCAACTCATTGTGCGTGTTGGTCCGCCCCTTCCCCGTGTCGCAGCGCAGCAGGTGGTTGGGCAGGCGCCTGTCAAGGATTGCCGTCTTATTGCGGCAGTCACACGCGCCAGGTGCCGAGGAGGGTAACCCCATCCTGAACTGCAGCGCATGCGCAAAGTGAGCCGGGGCAAGCCGCAGTGTCGAGTTGAAGGGGACCGCATTGAGCCAGTCTCCTGCCCCATACCCTGAGAGTGAAAGCATGCGCTGAGTGTGCCCGCTTAGTGGGTTGAGTGGCATGATGCGTGTAGCCTGCACCTGCTCCGCGTAGCGCAGTCCGTGTACCGCGATTGCCAGCCCATGCTGCAGCTTGGCGCCCTTGGGATTAGCCCGATCTCTCTGCAGCAGCTCCTTCCCATCGTCCGGCAGTGACTCCTCACACCTCTCCAACCAGTCAAAGAGCGGGGACGTGTTGATGAAGGGCCCCACCATCTGGACCCGCGTTTCCGCCAAGGCGCCGACGGCCGACTCTCTCTCTCTCTCTCTCTCTCACTTCCCCTCGCCACCCACCAGGCAGCAGCCCCTGTTGTACAGACTCCGCTCTCTCACTGTCCGTGCAGAATGGAGCGACGCAGAGTCGATGCCGCCTGCTGCCGTGTGCAACTGCTGTGGGCCCACATTCGAGCAGCAGCAGAGGCCGTGAGAGCGTGAGAGCATGTGGAAGGCACAGGCGGAAAGTAGAGCAGTGGAGAGGAGCAACGGGGACAGCAAGAAAGCACAGAAGCCAACCCAGGTGCCCTTGTGCCTAATGCACTTGCCTGCAATACAGTGCGCTTGCCTGCCATACAGTGCACTTGCCTGCAATACAGTGCGCTTGCCTGCAATACAGTGCACGTGCCTGCAATACAGTGCACTTGCCTGCCATACAGTGCACTTGCCTGCCATACAGTGCACTTGCCTGCAATGCAGTGCACTTGCC